ATATACTTGCTGTAATAGAAGGGGATATGTTCATAGTTCTACATATGTAATGCCAAATGTTTTATATAGATAAAGTGATTCTATTTAAAGACTTTCCAACCCCATACCTACATCCACGGAACACCCCTCCCCACACACACAGACTGCAGCCGAAAGCACTTCCGCGCCAAAGTCCAAGGCCAAAAAAAGACCCCGCTCCACGCGAGAAAAGGCCATTGCCTTGTGTGACCACGCCACGCGCACAGGCAGCAAACTGCGCGAGGTCATGAGAAAAGCGCAGCCGCGTGACGATACAGCGCGGCGCCGCATTGCGCAGCTGTCGACGAAGTGCGCGAGCGCTTATCTGCAGGCGTTCCTAACGGACATCAAGTACGCTCACTCGTTTGAGGCTGACAAGGTATGCGCGTGAGGGGGGAACGGGTTTCGATAGGTCTGTTTGGGCGCCAAACGCAAGCATATATGCCTTTTATGTGAAGTTTATAGATTGTATGACTCTGCCGTACGATTCTACTACCGAGAAAAAGGGGATTTTATGGGGTTTGAGTTTTAGGATTTTAGAGTTTCAGGGTAGGTTTTATCTTAATTTAGGGTTTTAGAGTTTTAGGGTTTTGGGTTTAGGGCCTTCGAGTTTTAGGGTTCCAAAACTATACACTTCGCACCATCCACTACACATTAAGAACGAACCACTCCGCCTTAATCCCCCATAATCGGTGTTGTCTGCAGAAACTGTGGCGCGAGGCCTTCTACGCAGTGGTGGAGATGTACCGTCGCTTTGTGCGGCAGCTCAGAGACGTCATGCGCAAAAAGGAGACCACGTCCTTCTACGACGACGACTTCGATGCGGTGTGTGTGTGTGGTTGTCTGTGTCTTTTTGGGGTTTATTGTTTTAAGGTTTAGTGCTTTAGGGTTTAGTGGGTTAGGGTATAGGGTTTAGTTTTAGAGTTAAGAGTTAGTTATAGCAGCCCTACCGTTTTGTTGTCCGCTGAGGTGGCACGGCGTGCTGTCACAGAGCGCTCTGGTTAAAGCGGTGTCTCCCTTTGCCTTTGACATCTTCCATTGGAGTTCATGTACCTTTGCATTGGCATTGGTTTTTGTGTAGTGCTTATATGGCGCTTTGGGTCTCGCGAGTGGTTTATAAGTATCACTGGTTGTGTGGGCACTTGCCAGCTCGTAACACTTAGTGTGATAGTGAAAGGGGTTTCAGGTTTTAGAGTTTCAGGGTTTGGGTATCCCAATGGCTTGGCCACATCCACACCCCAGCGACACCCCGAGGCGCTCTTTTCGGGCCTCCTGCTGCCCCCCAATGCCCAACTGTTATTCACCACACTGTCCAATATTTTTGATACATACATTATACATAAATATATATATATACATACATACATACATACATACATACATACATACATACATACATACATACAT